TTTTTAAAAATATTTTCACATGCACTCAATATCATCATTGCATGTAATTATTTTTTGTCGTTGTTAAATAAGAAAGGGTCATAAATCTGAATTTTAAACAACAGTTCCATGTTTTATTTACTTTAACTAAAAACTTATATTTAACATGGAACAGAATAATCATCGAAGTTGTGACAAATTTTATATATTTAATCAGAACACTCTTAGGTCGTTTTAATGTGTAATGCACATGCAGTTTGACAACAATCAGAGTCAGATATGTTATGAAACAAAAGTCATGAAAGAAAATATGCAGAAAGCACAACGGAGAAAATTCTGTGACGTAAAACAAAGCATATACTTGGAACGCAGTCAGTGCGCGATATATTTTTATTGCAGTTTTTGTTGCAAAACATTGACGTCGCTTTTTCTATTGTGACGTAAAATTGTGTCAGATTACATAAGAGGGGTTTTTGCTTGGAACGGCTCATTTTATATTAACATTTAGAAGGACATGTTTGAAGATATACCTTTTATTTGTTTCTTAAGTATTTTTCTTATATATTTCTACTATATTTATTAGAGGTTCTTTGAATTTTACAATCACATAAATTCATTTTTTTATAATCTATGTTAGTTTGTTTTAAGGCTATCGTAGATTTCCGTAATAGATTAAGAGCTTTAACCCCTTAACGGCCAAGTGCGCGTTTTGACGCATTTTCAGCAACACAATTATTTAACTGTTGGCGTTTTGTAAATAATTGGGATACAACAAAACATTTGATATTTTCTGAAACTAGAGAAGAAACACAACAATTTTTCTATTATAAGTTTTACTCTGCGATGTTAAGAAATTATTGTAAACTTGAATTGAACATTGAATATAACTGCGGGAAGTTTGTAAAATTACGCATAAATGAGTGATTTTGCGCTATCTTTGTAGGCTGTATCTCACTTTCAGCACACGATAAAAAAAAAATGAATGCCATATCCTAAAAGCGGGAAATTTTCCCTACATTTTCTCTTTTGGACATTGAAAGGTACGAGCATCCGTTACAGAAATATTTACTGTTGAATATTGGAACTTTTTCGAGTAAAACAAAAAAAGCACTATCTTATATCCTATAAATTTTAAGATCGAATTCAGCTCTAAGATATAACATACACGCATGTTTTTTTTTTAATATTTACCGATATATATGTAGTTAAAGGTTAGATATGAACATCATGAAGGCCTAATGTTGAAAACGTATTCCATGCAAATCTTAATATCGCTTCATTTATTTACAAATTTCAAGACGGGATTCTCAGCCGTAAAAGCGTTCCTAACAGATTGCGATGAATGTTAAATAATTTTTTTTTATCTTGAATAAAAAGAATAAAATCAAACCTATTCTCGAAAAAGAAATGCATGGATCTTCTTTCATAAGTAATCATAGCATATCGCTAAAAATCAATTAACTTCATTACTGAGTTTGGTCTAAATTTCACGGACAGATTAATTGCAGGTTTCAAAAAGTACTGAAATTTACCAAAAAACTTATGTCATTTATACTAGTTGCGAGTCAGCTATTTATTTTTAAGACAATGCCTTTTTAGATATAACAGATTGAATTGGAGAAAAACATTTACTTCCGAAATGGTAATTCAGGAAGGATTTTGCATGACATATAATTTTTTTTCATTCTTTGGGGAGCGAAATTCTTCATACTTCTGTTTTATATCCTAAAACAAGCTTTGATTTTAACTATTGCAGAGAGTTTTAACTTATATTATAAAAGTTGGAGAATTAATTTCCGTAACCTTAACTTCGTTACGATATTTTCACCGAAATTTTAACTTAATTTTGGATATGTGAGACTTCATAAGTCATACATTTGTGTCTATACTACGGAACAATGGAATATTAAAATTGTTTTTAAAAAGTAATCGATGCAAGAGTTGTGGACAATTTTTTTCCCCCAAGTTCCATGATATGTCTTTAAGAAAATTATAATTATGTTTTTGCTTTTTGAGACAGTTATTTTTTTCATGATTTATGTAATCAATTCGTCCATTTATCGTAAAATGATTGGGAATTACATGTAAGATCGGGTAGCGAAGTGGGACATACAATGGAAGTATATGCATTGGCGTCGGTAGCATATAGAAAGAGGAAGGGGGAAAGTAAAGGAGAAAAAAATATTCAAGTTACCAAAAACTTGAAAAGCGAAAAAAAGTGTCCTTCGTCCTTCATGAAGATCCTATTTCGGGAGGGAGGGGGAGGGTCAATATCGAACTTCTCTCAGTACAATTTCTGTCTAAACCTACGATCAAATGTTCATTGTTTATATTATGGCTATGTTTGCAAAAAAAGAGGCCCTAGCCCCCCACCCTCCGGTTCCGACGCCTATGATATGTAATTTTGTGTAGCGATTCAGATTCCGTTTTTTCTATTGAGACTTTGAATAAAAAACATGGAAGAAAAATCGTGTTTTGTCAGACACAGACAGAGATACTGTCCGTGAATTGCAAGAAACTTGTTTGTCTGTGTAAACCATGATGAGAAGGACCCCCCCCCAAATAACCATTCTTTTTACACCGCAGGTTCATATCTACATGTATTATGAATATATTTATACAAGTGCCAAGTCCAAGAAAAGACGTTTGCACGCAAGTCTAATATATGTCACCTATGAACTATTATATACGCGGTCTTTATGAATGCCTGAATACATCGATAATCAACACAAGCCACGGTCCAGAGTCCGCCTGTAGCCTCCAGATTGAAAGAGGATTTTGGCCGTGATTAGAAAGACACCAAGTTTGCACTAGAAAATGCGAAGTGTTTGTAATCTAAACATTTTGTTTCCAGTGCATGTATTTTACCTTAGGTCCCTGAAAAAAAAGTTTGGTGATTTTGCTTTGCATAAGCCTGCCCTGATATTACCACCTAAAAATATTGAAGATCTATAACAATGAAACGAAATCCAAAAAATGAAAAACTCAAACATTAATCAAAATTGCGCTGTCGCCCTATGCGGGCTCATCAGTAGATTAAGCAATTAAACAGATACATATACCTGCAAAGATAACTTGATCAAGATTGTGACTCAAACTGGACTCAAAGTGATGCACTCAGTTTTTCTTAAGAAGGTTGACACACGAGAATACTCATTTTAGGGTTTCTTTAGTAAGGACATTCTTCAAAGGCTGCTCCATTTGCCACCTCCATTTTTGTTTACATTCCATGCCTAAGTTTCGCTTCCTTTTAATTTTTACTCATCGGTAACCCCTTCCCCCTTCCACACAGACACATATTGCTTCACGTCTCTTAGTAAATAGAGATAAAGGATTACTCTGGGTAATGGATTTAAAGGGGATCAAACAGTTACTTGCCCTGGTTGGAATATTTATTGTAAATGCTGCATGGCACAGCTAGTTCGTGTTCATTTTGAATTTGCATTGATAATTGATTTGGGAAGGGGATCATAGGTAATGATAAACCGTTTAATGGAAGACATGTGCAGTACTTGGTAAAACCTTCATAGGGAAAAGTGGAGTGGACTAAATTTAAATACATGCATGCATATTATTGAGACGAGTGAAAAGTTCCAAAGTCATATAAACTCGTATTATTACTGTAAGTCTTTTTATTTTAATCCCGATGTAAAAAATTTACAATTTGCTTTATGCATACGCTACCGATTTCAATTACATATTCCCAGGTACATATAACTATATTGATCAATCAGATTAAAATCAGCTGTAAGTTTTTGTTTCGCTACGTTTAATACTAACCCAGGTACTACGTTGTTCGTCGTAAACGTAGACAAACAGCTGGGGGTATGTGTACAGATAAAAAAAAAATTACATTAGTGAAGTGAAGTGAAAACTGAAAAAAAAATAGCCATATCCATGAGAAATGAAAATTTGAAAAATAATTTTAATTAAATCTGGTGATGTTTAAACTTAATTACAGTGGATATATATCTTATAACCCCACCCCACCCCCTTCATCCTTATACAAAGAGTTGAAATTAAGAGCAATTAAAAATTTGACACTGGTATTAATATTATAATTCATTCACTTATAATTCATGTTTGTTATTAAAAAAAGTAATGGCATAATGTCATTTTTATTGAATAGGTGTTTATGTAAAATGTAGGGTGGAATCGAGAGTTAGTGTGCATAGATCTTTGTCATACTCTCCCCATGGCCGTCATATAAAACTTAATGATATATACTGATGATATTGTATTTTCGAGTACATAACAGGGTATTGTGAATTCTTATATGCAGATCGCTGGAACTAGGCAGGTAATTTTATCCATTGATAACACTCTACTGAAAGTAATAAATATATAATACCTATGATTTGTTAGGAAGCCCCTTCTCAAAATTGCTATTTTTGTAACCATGGCAACATACACTGTTCCTTGAAAAAAAGAAAATACAAAATTAAAAAAAAAATGTGCATCTTTGTACGCTCTACATGTGTACCAAATTTTATTGAAGTCAGTAAAAAAAACTGTAGGAGGGAGAGCGATTAAAAAATTGCTGACGACAATCAGACAGTTGTAAAGCCGAAGTCGAACGGATGAGGTATTGACATTGTGTAATTGTATAAACTCTTTCTATTAAATAAAATTGACCAGCAAAACTAAAAACTAATTGAATGCATGCTTTGTTTTAATAGTAACACCATATCCTCTGGTTTGGAAACATTATTTGTAAAATTGTTTGTATTTCAGGGAAGAATAAAAAGAGAAAAGCACATATTTTGGCAATTATGGGTCTCAAACGTTGCCATGGCAACCGTGACGTCAAATTACTCTGCATAATCAAATACTTTAGGATCTTACCTTTCAGAAAATATATGGGTTACTCTATGTAAAAGTGACTAAAAAATGTCTAAAATTCTATTTGAACTTTTTTAGGTATTTATGTAGAAAAATTGCAAAATCTCTGGCCGTTAAAGGGATAAAACGAATTTAATAATTGTTATTTTGACATTTACGCAATTGGAATATTTACCTAGGGATCCGAATGCAAATGTTTACAAAATCCTCTGAATTTGAATGAAGAACAACCATCAGAGACATGTAATGTTACATGTAATATCGGAGCTGATGACCATTATTTTGACGAATGTGGTGGACAAAGGGCTTATTCAGTATTTCAGTCAGCTGGTAATAGAACTCTTTTAATACATGCACATTATTTATTTTTAACTAGCTAAGTTATACAATTTACCACGATGAATTAAATTTCAGCTTTTTTGACATTATAGACACTGCTTCTTTTATAATACAAGGAACATGTTAAATGACTTTCTTTGTCTTTGGTTATTTGCAAAATTATTTTGTTATAAAATATTCCAAGGATTCACATTTACCTCGAAGTTGATATTTGTATGAAGAATGTTCTTGAGTTACTTATTGACAATATCTATGTATTTTTCAAGACCAAGTCTTCCATGAATACATCGGAATTTTCATGTGAATATTTTGCATTTTTTATCAGTAAATATATTTGTACATGTACTTTCATACATATATGAAGCCTATGTTCCTAAACATTTACATGAAATTCATATATGTGTCCACTTCATATATTGTCGTAAACTTGAAATAAATATTAAATAGGGTCTGTCTCCTCTGTTTCATATTTCGATATTTTACTGCAATAAGACATTAATGGTAATTTAACAACAAAACTGTATGATAAACGTGATGACTTCAATTCTATTGTCAAATTTCCTCGTTGTGTAGCAATATGCATTTATATCCACAACTTTTCGAATATTAAGAGTAAATTTCAGAATATGAAAAGCCTTTCCATAGCTTGTTCTTGTTGTTTGAAACACTAGAGAAGGCATTAGAACTTGAGTTGAGTGAAAATGTCATTTAATGACCAGATAAACGACGAAAATGAACGAAAACACATAAATATACAATATTACATACAATCATGTAAATTATAGCTGCCGTGGGATAAGGCCAAACAATGAATAATTTCAACTTAGATATGATATATTGCGAGTTAGTGCTTATCCCAGCTATTGTTTGATAATGATTACCAAGTTTGTGTAACAAGAAGATGACGTAAACAAACATATTTCGATATTTTACTACCATAAGACATTAATGGTAATTTAACAACAAAACTGTATGATAAACGTAATGACTTCAATTCTATTGTCAAATGTCCTCGTTGTGTAGCAATATACATGTACCTTTATGACCTCAGTAGAATTTATGTCTCCTACTTGATTTTATTTCTAAAACGAGTCAAGCTATTAACAAATAAATTTATGAAACAAGATTATCAACATTTTAGTTTGAAGTCAACATTTTTAAAGTCCTATGCTCGGCACAATGACCTTGTGAGTAGGTACAATCAATAAAATCAAGGTTGACTACATTTTGTCATACTAAATGTTAGGCCATTGTTTTCAAAATGCATTTTCAGAATTTAATGTTTGTCCGATCCTGACAAGAAGCACGCAGCGATTATGACAGGTCGGCAAGGGATGCTAACTCCTCTATGGCTTCTGACCCCACATCTAATGCTTCTAGAGGTTCCTAGTTGCTCTGTTTCCTGTTTGTATTGTTTCAGAAATGGACTATTGAGATTAAATACTGTTCGTTATCACCAAATTCCATTCCCCTCCAACATCTTACATTTAAGATTTCTATTAAATTATTAATAAAATTATGAAGGAAAATATGATTTTAGATAATGTAATCAATTGTCAACACTTACTGTTGTCATCGTTTAATCATAACAAACGAATTATATATAAATATAATATACCATACATCGCTGAACAGCTTATAGAAATTTCATATAAATAGCGGATATTCAATGTTTTGTAGTTGAATATGGAATTTATTTCACGAGTGGGACAGGATTTTTGATACTTTCACGAGTGCGAAGCACGAGTGAAAATATCAAAAATCCTGTCTCACTCGTGAAATAAATTCCATATTCAACTACAAAACATTGAATTTTCTGTTTATTACATTTTTTAAAAAAGATTCTTTGATTTTTCCTTTGCCTCTGTCTTTTTGTAATACAGTCATAGGCTCGTGACGTCATAGTTAAGCGGTTGAGACGTCATAGCTAAGTGAAGTGAAAACACTGTAAACATGAATTTGGAAACATATTTTTGGTAATTTTGACAGTTTTATTCGCTGTCAGAATAGTTTATTTATTTCCATCTATCTTATATATGGTCAAGGAAGATTTTTTACGGCAATGGGAAAGGAAATCGAGAGTTTTCCCGCACTTCTGATATTCGTCACACTGTGACAGGATATCATTTTGATATCCTTTCACACTGTGACAGGATATCATTTTTATTCAATGAATAAATTACAGTATTTCACGGGTAAAAATGTAATAATACATTATTTTTTAGATATGGAAAATAATCAAAATGAATCATTTTGTATTGGTATCCACTGCACAGAATTTCCGAAATTTTACTTTGAAAGTGATTGTAATCGAAGATACCAACCTTTATGCAAAAGTTGTGGTATGTTATTTCATGTAAGCTGAATCAACGTTCAATTTGATATGAATTTTAGCTAATGGAATTTTTCATTAAAATAATATAAACAATGTCTCATATTTTATTTATTTACAAATTATTATCTTTATTAAAACACTTTCCAAGTTTCATTTTCTTTAGTTGAAATATTTTGTACATGTAAAATTCATGAAACAGATTTGAATACAACTATGTATTGTAATGATTAGCTTTTTTGATTCTATCGCTTTTGTGTATTTCAAATGAATGGAATGATAAATAAGTACCCCCATTGCATGGTATATACAGACATAGTATGCAACCTCAAATTATATAATGTAGTCTAGTATATATATAGAAATAAATGTTCACATTTTCGCTTTAATTCCATTTAAGATGTTCCAGAAAATCGGGAGTTTGAACCCTGGTCAGCCGCAATGAAATACTGTAAATCTGCAAATTCGTCATCATACTTATTTTCCAATGTATTCTTGAACGATATCAACAGAACCTGTATCTCAATCAATAGTATATTTACTCAACCATCTTGGCTTGGAGTGGCTACCGAATTATACAGTGGGATTGATCGTGGTATGATAGTATATCAATTTTTGTTGTTGTCGATAAGAACACCGTAATTTAAACATGTTAGATGCTCCTTTTGAAAATGCATTTTCATTCACATGAGGGATATATACATGTATATCACAAATACGTTATCAGTCACAAAATACGGTTAATCCTTCGTATTCGCATAATCTCACAATAAAATCTGTATTTTATGTTTTCTTTCTGGTAAAACGAAGCTTTTTCAGAAATTATTAATACATTTACTTTTACTCTACGCTATTTAGTCTTTAATAAGTGATGGTCGTCCAGAGATTTTGTGGCTTTTTTTTTTGTATATTGTTAAACGTATCTCAAGAGAAATGTTCACTGTTATGGAGACAGTGAAGAGTTAAATTTTGTCAGATACTCGGCACATACGGCCATTGAGCAGTGAGGGATCTTTTTCTTCCCAGCACCTACCGCGACACGGGACCTCGCGCGGTTTATTCTGTCTCATTCGAAGGAACGATCTCTATCGTGGAATTTGAACCCTTAAGAAAGGATCAACTCCTTACTCCGCGACTCTGGAGCGGACGCTCTAAACACTGTGCCACGCGGGCGACTGTTTACTATGAATGAGTTGTAAGAACAAAATATATAACAATAAAACAAATTAACCCTTAGACACATTTATCGCATTGTTATTGTTTTAGGAGGACATTTAGTCTGGGCAAGGTTCTACATAGCACTACACAAGATTTTTGTATAATTGCTGATTGCATCGCCTTGAAATAAAATTACTATCTTCCGTATAATTCTTTTAATTATCTCCATATTTCTGTTTGAAGCTTTAACAAACTTGCAAAAAATGAATTAAAATTTAAATTGATAAAAATACATACACAATTTGTATATTTTCGCTCCTACTATGGATTCATCGGGACTTTTAACGTTTACGTTGATGTTGCATATTTTAATATCTGATTCCGTGACTGTGCCAGGTACCCTACCACTGACCCATCAATATATCATAATTTTTCTTTTTTATAAATACTTCTTTCATTTTTTTTTATTCTAAGTGTTAGTCAAATGTATTTGCAAATTTTCCCTGAAAGACGTTTGTAGATGTGGGAAAAGAATATACACTATGTCTCAATAATTTTGGAACAACCTATGGAAAGCCAACGGGTTCAAAAGTCCAACTCTGTAATTCTTAAAATATACACATGTTAACCTGTATTTGTAAACTGTAAATCGAATTTCATAATTTGTAATGTTTTCTACAATTTGTTTATTGTAAAATAACAATTTGAAAGGTTAAACGCAAATGCAAGTGTTGCCGATTCCCTCATGTTATTCGTAGACTTCAATTTCAACTTGTGATATGTAAATTGCACTTTCGTAATTTGTAAATTGTGAAGGTTGATTATGGTAATGCCTATTAAGACGAAAGGGGGCGCAATACGGGGGCAAGTTAAATGTTGCTTAACAAATAAATCTTTTCCCCCAAATTTTTCCCACCAAAAAAATATAAAGAAAGGCTGATGAAATGTGTACAAATTAATTTCATGTCTGTTGTGAGACTGTTTGTTAAATTAACAGGGGGTATAAAGTAAAAAACTCAACAATCCTGATTAATTTGAATTTTGATATTTTTAAAAGCCTTTTCTGCAGTGTGTTGGGGTTGGAGAGGTTCTGGACCCCCTCAGATTTTCAATTATGAATTTTATACAGAGAAACAATTAAGAAATAAACCCTTGACCCCCTGTAAGGAGTTATGGACCGTCTTTAAAAATCAGAAGTGTCATATACATTAACCATCCCCCCAACAAACACACACGAAAATGCGTTTGGAGACTTTTTGGCTTAGACTCCCCCTCCCACACACACACTTTCTTTGCAAATTTAGATATAATGTAGGCATTGAAAATTGAGGTTCACACCCCCCCCGCTTCTTGTCATTATCGGGATATAACAAAAAAAAAAACCAAATAAATATCCACTAATGAACATGTTTGAAGCATTTAAGGGGATGGTGACGAACTAAATGCATGTACTAGATGTAATAAGTGCTGTAAATGAATATATTTAAAATAAGTATTTTGATGAACATTCACCTGGCTTTGGCAAGTCACATTTCGTTTTTGAATTATCATTACAATAAACTCCTTGTTTCCTTAAAAAGAAATAAGCAAAAATACACATTC